ATGCAGGGGGTCAGACTCGATGATCTATTGAGGTCCCTTCCGACCCTAACATCTATGAATCTATAAATTGAAGATGCTCCCAGTTTTGTTTGCATCCATCCTGCTAATAATTAGTAGCAGTAAAATAATTAGATTATATTAAAGAGGTTTTCCTTTTGAGTAGGAACAGATGTAGATGTAATCTTTCTTTACACTAGCATACCTTGTTAAAGATCTTTCAGTCAAACTGATGTTTGAATTGTACCATTAGTGTTGCATATATACCAGGTATCCTGTAGTTATGAAGCGAACACTGACACATGATTGATTGTCTTTTAAAACTGCTTAAATGATATGCAACCACTTAAACCTACTAAATGTAATTGCCAAGCAGTCTAGAAATGGAAGGGAAAGGCAGACAATGGTGGGAAGAGACTGGGACAGAGGAGAAGAGGCAAAAGAACACTGAAGGTAATAATAGGGGTTGGAGGCTGAGAAGTTAAAAATAAGTTTGATGAAGTTGAATTTTAAACAAATGAATCTATCTGAAAAGGATTAAAGTAAAGAAAGGCTTCTCCAACAATAAAACATGAAGAGGATGTATCAAGGTGTTTAAGGAAAAGCACAGAATTGGAAGAACAAACAAGGGAGATCATTTTGCAGTTGGGTTTAAGCAATTTAAGCCTTAATGCATATATAGAAGTATTTTAACCTGATCGCTAGTTTTGTAGGGTCAGTTTTACACCTGCAATTACTTGCACGCCTAAATGCTGAAATGTACAGGTCTGTCTACCTGACTGCACATCAGATTTATAGATGTTGTTCATTGTAGTGCATGGTTGTGTAAAATACAGCCCATAGGTCAGATCTGGCCCACCAACAGCTTCAGTCCAGCCCACAGGTGGATGGCTGCCAACTCATTGGATCTAGTCTGTGGGTGGCCGGTGGCTCTGGCTGCTGGGTGGGCGGGTGGGACTGCTTCAGCCTAGCAGCATCAACCCTTGACCCAATGGAATCAGCTCTTGACCCAGGAGGGGCTTCCACTGCAGCCATTGTGGACACCACTGGCAGGTTCAGGAGCCCAGATGCAGAACCTGCTGGTGGCATCCACAGCTAATGCCACCACCCACCTGGTGCAATAGAAACTGCTGCCCATAGCCCCAACCTAGAACCTGCTGGCAGCCTTAGCTGTGGACCCAAGGAGGAGCTTCTGCCATGCCAGGTGGGCAACAATATCTCTCTCTCTCTATGTCTCTCTCTCCCTCTCTCTGTGTGCACATCTGTGTGTGCGCGCATCTGTGTATGGGCGAGTGCGCATCTGTATGTGTGTCTGTCTGTCTGTCTGTCTGTCTGTCTCTCTCTCTCTTCCCCTCCTTCCCTCCCTTCCCCTCCATCTAGAATCCAACCAAAGCTGTAATTCTCCAGGAGCCCCGACACTCAGCTGTGAACCCAGGCAGAAGCTTCACCACACTGGGCAGGCAGCAATATCAGCTGTCACTGGCAGCAGGCTCCACATCAAGGCTCTGGATCCTGGTGGCTGTGCCCAGCTGACATTGACACTTGCCTGATGGGACAGAAGCCCCCACCTGGATCCACAGCTGAGCATCAGGGCTCCTGGCAAACTTAGAGCTTCGGCTGGGTTCTGGAGGGAGGGGGAGAAAGGGAGAGAAGAGAGTGAAAGCAACAGAGAGACAGAAGAGGAGAGAGAGAGAGAGAGACGGAGAGAGAAATGGATGTGGCCCTCGACAGGTCCCCAAAGCTCATTAAGTGGCCCTCCAGCCAAAATAATTGCCCACTCCTGTTGTAGCAGCTCTTTGCAAATGCAAAGCTGTATCTGGCAAATCTGAAGCAGTATGTCAGACGCTAAGCCCTTTAAATTGTATTTAACAGTGGTTTGCCTGGATCTGTGCTCCCTCCCTTAAAACCATGGATACCACGAGTCTCTGGACAAAGAAATGGGAGACAACCATGTAACCCACTTTGGATACCATAGATCAGTCTTCTTTTCCCCAAGAGCTACAATAATATCTCATTGATGTGTGATCCTACTGGTGGAGAGCTCTTATTTCTTAACTGGAGACTGTTTAATAAGCAAGTGGCTGTATCTGTGTGGGGTGTGGGTGTTGCTTCCTGTGCTCCCTTGGACTGAAGGGGAAATTTCCTATGCTGTAGCTTAAAGCAGGATTCTTTCAAGTTTTCAATCACTTTTTTTTTCTTTTCTTTCACCTCCCAAGTGAGGGGTGCCCACTGCTAGAACAGCTGAATATCTCTTGGTGTGACCAAGTGACGAAGGATGGGATCCAGGCTCTTGTGAGAGGATGTGGGGGATTGAAAGCCTTGTTCCTGAAAGGCTGCACGCAGGTATGTCACTACAGAGACCATGTGTATTAAACTAAGTAGAACCCTGAGTTTCTGATTGCTGAAATATTGTGGATTTTGTTTTTCCAAAAAATACTAGATCTTGAATAATTTCAGTTAGATACCAGTTAGAGTGAGCGCTTCACTGAAGCTCAAATAACTTTGAACTCGGCGTGAGTAGCTGAACATAGATTTTATTTGTGTGGTCTATTGGTAGAATTACTTTTTTTTTCTGCAGGGGACATAATGGGCAAAATCATGTGCATGTGGATTTTTTAAAAAGGGAAGATAACTTGGTTAAGTCCCTGGATGGAAGTGACCCTTTTCAAGGCTCAGACAGTAATAGAAAGCCCAGCTGCAGTTGCATCTGGCACCACATGATCCAATTCCATCTCCTTGCAAAGTGGACTCTTCCAGCCTGCCAAAGTAAAATTGGACTGTAAATGACTCTTTTCAAAGGTTTTTTTTCCTGCAGCTAGACAGACAGAGTTATCATTTCCATATGTTATATCATTTCTCTAGACTGTTTCCAGACCAATATAGAGTAACATGTTATGAAGACACTTGGCATAGATGGGTCTCCAGCCCTAATACATATGATTTTAAACTGTGAATTAGCTTTTAAAGCTGAAATATGTTACTCTTCTATTACATGCCTTTTGTTGTTTTGATTTAATTTTCTTTTAACCTTATTGGGCTGTGAAAGTACCTACCCCTCAATCTAGAATTAAATTTGCATAGCATTTTTCACGTGTTACATATCTAAGAGCTTGATGTGTTAAATATGGCTAATACTGTGACTTTATTTAGGCACCCCCTAACACTTGAGAATTTGACAGTAGCTGACATCTCATTGAGCATTAGAGTCTTAATGGGAGAAGGATTCACACTGAGGATATGGACCTAACCCTGGGAAGCCAGAAAAAGGGCCAAAGAGACCAATATCATCCAAAGAACAATACCATCAAATAGTGTATTGTTTCCTTTAATATTAACATATGTTTTAGTCTTCGAATAGTGGTGCTCAATCTTTTGGTCCCATGGATCAGATGTGTGGCATAAGACTAGTCCATGGGCCAGATTGGGCCCTGCATGGCTTCGGCTAACCCCTGTATACCTAGATTGGACCCCAGGGTTTGCTGCCCCCGCTCCCCTGCTGCAAAATTTTCAGACCTGTGGGCCAGGTGACATGGCTTCAGGGAGCAAATCTGGCCTGCAAGCCAGGGGTTGAGCACCTGTGCCTTAGAGTTCCAAGTTGTGATGTGGGACTTGAATGCACAATCATCCTTTACAGACAGGCAAGCCCCTGACTGAGTGAAACGAATGCTTTGGAAACTGGTATAGTATCTACACAGATCTCAGCATGTTTATAAGCATAGGGATTTCTTTTTTAGCCACAACATTTGAGCTGAGAGGTTGGTAGACAGGCTGAAAACTAGCATTCAGCTTGCTCAACTGTAAAGGCAAGAGGAATTTTGCCAAAGAACTGATTTCCCATCTCTGTTTAAAAAACCAAAAAAACCCAAAAGAAGTGTCATGGTCGCTTTAGCACACTAGCAGATAAAACTGAAAAGACTAAAACAGTGACTTTGCAGTAAGTTATGTGGATCTCTGTTTCTCTAGCTTGAAAAAGTAAGCCTGCTGTATTTCAGATTTGTGGCTCTAGGGAATCTTCAGTAGTTAACACTTAAAAGTTTAATCCTGCAGTCCATCTTCTTTGATGTACTTGGTTCTCTTTTGCCTGAATGTTGAAACTTGGAGGGGGGAGGGTTGTTCCTCAGAAAGGGGTCTCCTAATTCCATTTTACCTCTAGTGAACATGTAAATTTCATTAGTTAGTCCTGTTGGATGTGCAGGTAGAAAGCTGTAAAAGTTTCAATATGTCAAACCACTGTGTGCAAAATAAGTCCAAATATTTGGTCTATAGCCAATAGTTTTTTAAGCTTATGTTATGAGATTTTTTAATAGCCTGTGAAACATACATGACTGTAGAGGAAAATGACTTGGTAAGAGGTTTAACAATCTGAGCCTATTTTCAGAATTCAGATCACCGAAAAAACAGCTTGAGCTTCTGGTTATTTATGGAACTCTGAAAAATATTGATAGGAATACAGCCTTGTTATCAATTATTTGCCATCTGTTCTCCTGGATATAAGAATGGCAGCATTTTTTTAGCAGTTAAAGGCAATTGGGATGCCTTTTGTGGCTGGCTGTGCTTTGGAAAAAGACATTTTTAAGAGAGCTTCACAAGTGACTTGAAGATGTGAAAATGGCATTAGCTTTGTTGACTTTCAGAGGAGCCCTGTGAAGCTTTAATTATCATCTTCTAATTTCAGTAAATTGTATTCTAATTGCATCTCTTGGTTTGTTGGTAGTCAGTTACCTTTGATCAGTTCACAGTTCATTTAAATCAATAAACTGTCCTTCCAGGTTGATCTGTGTTGGAGATCTAGAACAGCAGGAAAATACCACTTGTTTACTGCCATGCTGCATGTTTGTGAGATGTGTGGTGCTTTTTGCCACCAGCACATATCCAATTTATATCTTTTTGCACCTTTTTCTTTCAAGTCCACTTCAAATATAACAAATTGCTTCAGTCTCTAAATGTTACTTTCCTTTCTAGCTGGAGGACGAAGCACTCAAATACATTGGTGCACACTGTCCTGAACTGGTGACTTTAAACCTACAAACTTGCTTAGTAAGTAAGCTTTCATTGCGATTCCAAGGTTACATGTAGTGTATGTGTAGATGGCATATCTGAATAGAAATAAGTTAAACATAGCTCTTCAAGCCTCGGTTATGCAAGCAGACTGGGAATGGCAACTTCTTAAGCATTTAAAAATAGCTTACAAAAATAGCTTTTTTGGTTGCATTTGATATAGTTGTATGAGCCCCCAAAATAGCCTTGTTAGCATTTGGCTTGGCAGCATCATTCTGTCTGTCTTCGCCCTGCCCAAAGGCCTTTTAAGCTCATTTGCAAGACTAGCTGGAAAAATTCTTTCCATTGAGCTGGAATATTTGGTATTGCATCCAAATTTTACACTGGCTTAAATTGGATCAAGAAATGCATTTGCCCTAAGCAAAAAGGTTTTTGAACAAACCATTAACATTGCCAAAAATGTACATTTAAGCCAAAAAAGGTTGAACTGGGCAGGGTTTTTTCAGCTTTCTCACATGGAAACAGTGATAGGGCTGTCCTCTCCCTTTCCACCAAAGTTAGCAGAACCTTGCAGAACTTCAGAACTTTGCTTTACTCGTTTGTATACTTGAGAAATATTTATGTGTTGAAGTTCTCTCTGCAAAACTATCTAGAAGCTGTGGCCAGCTATAATTTTCTGTGTTGACATTGGGTGCTTATGAGGAAATGGTTAGAGGAGATATGTTAGGGAGGAGTAGGCCTCTGTCTAGAATCTGGAATATGCATCTGGAGTAAAGGTGAAAAGGAAAAGACATTCTTGATCACCACAGTATGAAATGCTGTAGTGTGGTATTTTCCTTTCATCTCATTCCAGTGTTGTCTCTCCAGTCTGCATTGTATATTATTCTTGAAAGGGGTAATGCCATTCTCTAGTACTTTTCTATGTTGGAATCAAATTTGATCAAGTCATGAAATCCAGTCATAGGCTTAGCCTGGATCCTGTTACAACCTGTTCTCCCCTAATATATCTTCTCTCATTTTCTTCTTTCCACTGTGTACATTTGTATTTACCCCATACATCTATCCTCTGGCTGGCATGACCAAATTGAGCTCCAGAATGCCATTAACTCCACTGCTACCAGCCAACATGTCACTCATCATTAGATGAGAGATTCTGCCTCAAGCATTGCCATCCCAAACTGGTTTGTGGAGTTAGAGACAGGACCAGCTGTTGCATCCTCTTTGGCCTGGGATGCAACTCCGTTGAACCATAGCTAAATTAGCCCTAGTCTGGGATTCAAACCTTTGTCTGTCATAGTGATTCCCAAAGGGTGCCATGGCAGCAGTGAAAGAGTGCTGCAAAAAATGGGTGGGGTCAGGTCCAAAAAAAAGTATGCAGTGGGTATCAAAAGTTATGTTTTGAGCACCAAGACATGAAATGAGGTTTTGAAAAAGTGGTTTGTAAATGTAAACTGTGCAGCTAAAATATGTATTGCATGGTGGCTGGTGTAACCTTTAATTTTCTAATCCACTGATGGCCAAGAAGCAGTTTTGAATAGGATTGCTGTAGAAATTAGGAGGCAGTTCTGCCCTGTTAGCTAGGGCATCCCATAGTGCCCTACTCCAGAAAATACACACATCCTAGTTCCTAAAACACTTGCATGCATATCAGATCAGTTATAGAATATGTGCATGCCATTTCTGAAGGGTTTCTGCTGTTTCAAATGTTTGAGTAAAAGTATTAGGATGTTTTTTGGTTAATAGCTTGGTTCAAGCTGAATGTCCCTTTGCCTATCTCAGAAGGCAAAATATGCAATGTGTTGCATCTCTACCTTCATTATTAAGGGTTGTGGTGGTGTGTTTTTCTTGTAGCAAATAACAGATGATGGTCTCATTACAATATGCAGAGGATGCCACAAGTTGCAATCCTTGTGTGCCTCAGGCTGTTCTAACATTACAGATGCCATCTTGAATGCCCTGGGGCAAAACTGTCCAAGGCTTAGGTAAGTTTTCAGTTGAGTCATGCAAGCTTCAGTGTCTTGATGCAAATGGGGTGAAGGTATTAGTGGTCTTGGTATTGTAACATTCTTACTGGTTTTGACTCCAGATGTCAGAATGCCTAGTCCAATTTAGAAACCTCCTCTCTTATCTCTGGACTAAGTTCCAGCTGTTCAGTGTAGGGAGGTTTTAGCTGTGTCCTAACTTTTGGTTCTGTAGAATGTAATCCTGTATGAATGGAGGAATGGCAAGACACCTCAGTGCAGCAGAGTTGCATACTGCAGGGAGCCTTATATAGAATTAGGAACAATATCCTTTTTCAGTCATTATGTATAAGCATATACTTGGTTAAAACAACTGAAATTAGGCCGGAATGGTTTGTACTAGGTACTGGAAATAGAAGTTTGCAACTCTATAGTTTTCTCTCTCAAGAGCTAGTTAACATGTCAAAATGATAATTTTAGAGCAGGTGAAGCAAAGGTGGAGTTTGCACTAATTTTCACTGTCAGATTGAGAAAGCAGGTTTCCAGTGCCATCCTTGAAGATTTTTTTTTAAATCTATAATTTATTAGGGCAAGCAGCTCCATAAAGATTAGCTGTAATTCAGAAAATGACATGGTAGAGAAAGAAAAGGCAAGAATTATCTAGCATCTGTTACAGCTGGGGGTCTTCCTATATGTTGAATAAAATAAGTAACCTCCAGAATAGAAATGGATTGTCTATAATAAGGCCAAAATTAAAGGATTATGGGTACATTGGGTACACGTGTGTGTCAACTGCATGTGTACGGAAAGCAGCTTTGAAGAAGGAAAGTTTAAAATGTACTGTTACATCTAATAGACTTATATAGTAATATTAAATTCTACTGATCTTTTGGATAAAGTGCTGTAAAACAAAATATATAGCATTTAGGAAAGTTCCACCTTAGTTTTTTAAGAATGGGGATAATGTATTGTAGCACTAAAAATTAAAAACCTGTACTTCTGCAGTTTTTTTATTTGAGCAGTCATGCTATCCTAGGAGTGAGCATCTTGCTTTCTAGACAATTGTAATGCCATGAGGGTTTAAATGCTTTATCATTATGTGCCTTGTCTATTAGGGTATCAGGAAATGCTGTTTAGTATCATGCACTGCTTGATGATGAACTCAGAAAATGAGGTAGAAGAGGACCTGTGTGTGTACTGGTGTGTGGACTTGGAAATACTCCTCTTAGATTAAATTTAGTCACTTTTTTCCCTGGGTGGATACAAGATTTTTAACAAAGCAAAATTATTTCTGTGATTATAGTATTTTTAATTCTTTCTGTACAGAATATTAGAAGTTGCAAGATGTTCTCAGCTAACAGATGTGGGCTTTACCACACTGGCTAGGGTAAGTTTCGCTTTCTCTTGTACCTGGAGCATATGCACTTTGAATGGAAACAAGAGGGTTAAGTGGATATCTAAATCAGATATTTCCCCTTAACTTTTCAACACTGTTTAGACATTTGACTCTGTTACTCTAAGAGGTCAGGCTTATCTTCTTAATAAAATGAATTGCATTTAGGAGTCAGCAGATACTTACATCTGTTTATTCTGTGCTCCATACAAGTGACATTGAATCAACCCTCGTTTTCTCTGTAAATTAAAGGAAAAGATACGTTAAAGGCATTTTAGAAGTGTCCTTAAATGGGTAAACTTGTCAGGATTTCTGTATTATGCTTTTAATGCTTTGTTTAGTGGCACTGTACTTCAGTGAACAATATGCTGTTTTAGCAGTCATGGCCAGATTTGGAAAGAACTGTAAGTAATTTTACATTTACTGTTTGGGCTTTGTATTTAACTTGATCTTGTGTATACTTACAGAATTGTCACGAGCTTGAAAAAATGGACCTGGAAGAGTGTGTTCAGGTAAGAGGTGTAACCCTTTAATGGCTCTTTGAAATGCACCGTTGTGTCACATTAGGGTGCAGATGTTTTCTGTACCATCAACGTATATAGATTTTCTAGCAAAGAAAGGACCAGTCTAGAAGCATCCCTTCGCCCCCCCGCTTTTTAAGAGACTTGCTCCAGAATCCCTATCAAGAAAAGAAGCTGCTGAGTTTGGGCAAAAAAGAGACTTGTATGTTTATCATTTTTCCTGTTTTGCAGTAGAGAAATGTATTGAAAATGTGAACAAATCTGAAGATGTTATCTAATCTGCAAATCATAGACCTCTCTGGAAACCTGATTATTTTAAGAACCCCAAGCCCCAGAATGAGATCTTTTATTCTTGAGAAATGGAAAGGTCTTTATTACATAAACATAGTAAGAAGAGGTCAATGAAAAGAATTTCCAAATATAAATTCCAAATATAAGATAATGTAGCTGAAGTGTTTGAACCATTACAACTTTGCATGTAAGGATGGGAGAAAAACAATAAGAAGAAATAAAAGTGAGATGTCCTCCAACCAAAAATCTTCCCAGAAGGTAGTAGGATATAGTGCTTTACCAGCCACTGACTCTGTTACTGCTTACTCTTACTCTTACTCTTACTCTTAATAATAGCTGTGCACCACAGATTCATACAGTAGTTTTTTTTATAGAAATGAACACTAAGTTTAGGAGTATATGCCCTCAGTGTGATAAAATTTTAAGGTAAGAGTTAAAAGATAAAATGACTCAGTAATTTGAGGTAAAAAAGCCCATGAAGGCAGCTTTCAATTAGAAGTAGTTAGGAAATTCAGGTAATGGGGTTTTGCTTCCTGCAGTGAGAGAATAGTCTGGCCCCAGTATTCTCTGCTTCCTTATGTTTATAGAGTAGGAATTCAGAAAGGCCACAAGAGAGGAAATTACAATGGTCCAGACAGGATGTGTTCTAAAGCTGATCTGACAAGGAAGAAGAAAACTTGGGCTGTGTCTTTTTAGGTGCTTTGTACAAAGACAGCCTAGCAAGTTTCTTTCTTAAGGGCCAAAGGAGGTTCCGCTTGCCTAGAAGTCTGTTTTATTATGGCAATAAGATGCTGTAGTAACTTAAAAACTGACAAAGTGTGCAAACGTTCAGAGCCGAGAGTAGAAGGGGTTCAGGGCCATTTTATTAATGTGTTTGATCTTCAGTAGTAAACTAACATTTTGGAGAACTATTTTTTGTTAGACTGTTCTACCCTGCCTCTTTCATTGTGAGCTTGTTTCATAGATTTTCATAGATTTCATAGACATTAGGGCTGGAAGGGACCTCGGAAGATCATCGAGTCCAGCCCCCTGCCCAAAGGGCAGGAAGTCAGCTGGGGTCACAGGATCCCAGCAAGATAAGCGTCCAGTTTCATCTTGAAGGTGTTCAATGAAGGCGCTTGAACCACCTCCGGCGGCAGGCTGTTCCAGACCTTGGGGGCTTGGACAGTAAAGAAATTCTTCCTTATGTCCAGCCTGAAACGATCTTGAAGTAGTTTGTGACCATTCAACCTCGTCATCCCTTGGGGCGCTCTGGTGAACAAACGTTCCCCCCGATGCTGGTGGTCACCCCTGATAAACTTGTAGGTGGCCATCAGATCACCCCTGAGCCTGCGCTTTTTCAGGCTAAAGAGCCCCACGGCTCTCAGCCTGTCATCATAGGGTCTGTTTCCCTGACCTCTGATCATGCGCGTGGCTCTTCTCTGGACTCTCTCAAGCTTCTCCACATCCTTTTTGAATTGTGGAGCCCAAAACTGGACACAGTACTCCAGCTGCGGCCTCACTAAGGCCGAGTACAGGGGGAGAATGACGTCCCGGGATTTGCTTGAGAAGCATCTATGGATGAAAGCCAGCGTTTTGGTCGCTTTACTAGCCGCCGCATCGCATTGCAGGCTCATGTTCATCTCGTGGTCAATGATGACCCCCAAGTCTCTTTCTTCCATAGTGCTAGCCAACATAGCACTGCTGAGCCTATAAGGATGCGGTGGGTTTTTTTCCCCCCAAGGTGGAGAACCTTGCATTTATCGGCGTTGAACACCATCAGATTCTCGTCCGCCCACTTGCTGAGCCTGTCCAGGTCAGCCTGGATAACCTGCCTGTCTTCTGGTGTGGATGCTTTGCCCCAAAGTTTGGTGTCATCGGCGAACTTGGCCAGTCCGCTTCTGACTCCAGTGTCCACATCATTAATGAAGATGTTGAACAGTATGGGTCCAAGGACAGAGCCTTGGGGGACCCCACTGGTCACAGGACACCACGATGAGTGACTTCCATCGATTACTACCCTCTGGGTCCGACCCCGGAGCCAATTTCCCAGCCAGTGGATCGTGGAGGACCCAAGGCGACAATTGGCCAGTTTCTCCAAGAGGCGATCATGGGACACCAGATCGAAGGCTTTTTTGAAGTCAAGATATATGACATCAATCTCTTCTCCCTTGTCCAGGTGATAGGTCACCTGGTCGTAGAAGGAAATGAGATTGGTCAAGCAAGACCTACCCGCAACAAATCCATGCTGGCTATCCCTTAAGATGTTGGCGTCGGCCAGTCCATTAAGGATGGCCTCTTTAATAAACTTTTCTAAGATCTTCCCCGGGATAGAAGTCAGGCTGATGGGCCTATAGTTAGCCGGATCCACTTTCCTCCCTTTCTTGAAGATAGGCACCACATTGGCCTTCTTCCAGTCTTCGGGCACTACACCAGAGCGCCAAGAGTTCTCAAAGATCCGTGCTAGAGGCTGGGCTAAGATGCTCGCCAGCTCCTTGAGTACCCTGGGGTGAAGATTGTCAGGGCCAGCTGACTTGAAGGTATCCAGCTTCTCAAGATGTTCTTTCAGAAAGTCAGCATTAAGGGAGGGCAGGGGACCACCCTCACCCGGACTTCCCGGCCCTGTAGCGGGCATGGGCGTCCCATGGGACTGATGAAAGACTGACGCAAAGTACCTATTTAATAGGTTGGCTTTTTCCTAATAATTTTTCCTTAATAAAAAAGTTAGGAAAACATGGTGGGAGGGGAAATTATATACCCATTTTGGTTTCATAAGAACAGATTCAAAGAGCCTCACATATCTGAAAAAGGACTTTCATCAAAAGCAAGGAAAATCCAACTTATCTGATATGTCAAATGGAAAGAGCAAACAGAAAAAGAGCTTTAAAAACTCCTTTGGAAAACCCTTCCTAAGGGAAGTGAGGGGAAAGAACACCTACATAACACATTAAAAATCTTTCTCAGGTTCCATATTAAAGGATCGATATGAACTTTTACCTACAGTGTAGGCCAGCTAAGGACAATCTCCAGAAACGTTCAGGAGTTAGTAACTGTCAGTTTTAGATGATGTACAGGTTTCCCCTAGCTTCATGCTGTACATGCGTTCCTGGAAAACAGCGCATAACTGGAATTCGCGTAAAGGGAGCCCGCTTTGGAAGAGATACGTTCCAAAACCTCAACTGTACTGACCCCCAGACCCATTTCTTCCACTTTTACAAGATCGTTTTGGTACTCAGCAACAGCACAGTACACAAGCACAGGGCACTATCGCAATGGGGATGGCAACTAGAGAAACACGTCTCAGACAACGAGCGAGGAGCGCAGATCCACAGAGGAGACTATATCTGGGTGCGCATCATTCCCACAATACACCACACAAAGCGGTTGACTGCAGCCTTCCACCACACCGATCGCATAAGAATGAATTTACCTTGCATATAACGAACTTTTGGTATAAAAAGGGTCATCGCATAAAAGTGATTTTGCACATACAGAACCCGCATAAAGTGAGGGAAACATGTACAGCAGAATGTCACTTTCATTTAGGCACAGTTCAAATTAGGAAGAAAGTTGTTTTGTGAAAGTTCCAGTCTGAAAAGACTTTTTTGTCTCTTCCAGATAACAGATAGTACATTAATCCAACTTTCCATACACTGTCCACGGCTTCAGGTTTTGGTAAGTGGTGTTTGTATAGGAATATTCAGTGTGTCTCTTCCTAAAATAAATGATCCTACCTATCAGAGATTTCCTGTATGACTTCCCGGGCATATGCTGGTTATACCCAGTCTGTATGAGATGAAGACAATAGCTCTATTTCATCTCTAATATGGTGGTTGTAACTTGTGGCGACTGTTAATCTTAGAATGCACTGCTCTATTTCAGCTAGAGCTCCTGGAGAGCAAGGTATATAGTTGCTCTTTTGAATGCATCTTTTGGTCCACGAATTATAGCTTAATCAATACATGCTGATCAAAGGAGAGTGTTGTAATTTATTTTCATGCTTTGCTTCCCTGCCAAAATCCTTTAGGCGCCTTTGATTTTAAATTGACATTGTACTCCCTCTGCTATTCTGTGAGGGTGCTACTACATTTTGATTCCTAAGATCTGCAGTTGCACATTGTGTGATCCAGTAAGGAATTTTTCTACATCTTATTATTGTATTGCTGTTTGCTATCTTGAAGGTTATTTCAGTGATTTCATGCTTTGTACGGCCATTTTCAGGTGATAAGTTCTTGTTACAGGATCAGGCTTGGGATTCTACCTTTTTTCAAAATATCCTTACCGTTTAAGGGCTTTTCCCCCCTATTTTCTTTATTGTAACACTTTTCCTTGTCATTTTAGAAATCTGGTTAGTGTTTATCATGTATATTGACAAATCAGTGTGTGAGTGTAGACAGAGATACTGACTCAATTGTTTGTTACAGATTTCTCTGGTCCAGAGGTATATTATTAATGGCCTAGTGTCTGTATGAATCTGCCCTTGGAGAAAACAAGAAAGGAAGGATGGTCCCATGGATAGGGTCCTAGCTTAGGACTTGGGAAGCCAGGGTTTAAGTCTCCCTGTGCATTTGTTTCCATCTATAAAGTGGGATACTAGTACCCATTAGTTCACAGGGCTGTTGTGAAGATGGATAAATGTAAATCAGTCGTTCTCATTTGGAGTGTGAAGATTATCAAGGGTGTCACAGAAGCAGTGGCCAGGTAAACTTCCCTGTGTGTTCCCCCTGCATTAGGGTTGTTCTCTAATCAGCTTCTGTTTTCAGAAGGAGTATTGTGGGTGCTGAACCAGAAAGAGCTGCACTGCATGAGGTAGCTTCTGCCTGCTTTAGGGTGGTCAGAGCCCTAGTATTAGGAGGAACATGCACAGCCCTTCCTGGGACAGCTGTGCAAGACAGGTCAGTTCCATTCCAGTTGCACATCCCTTCTCAACAGCAGAACCTAGCTAAGAAGCATTGGGGTAAGCTGAGGCAGCACCACCAGTGGTTTTCAGCGGGGGGAAGCCGCTGGCTGTGGAATCAAAAAAGCATTAGTCGAGTGCCTTGACCCTGAAAAGGTTGAGAACCACTGATCTAGATTGTGAGTTGCTTAAGTAACAGAGTGATTGTTGTGGGGATAAGGATCAAAGGTGAAAAACTGCCACCCTCCTTTCTTGACACTCCTTTGGAAGCTGTCTTTGCTGAAAGGCAGTTGAATAAGAATCACTGTCACCTCTGAGTCTAAATCCTACTCTAGGTGCGAGATGTATGTTAATACTTTTCTCTGGAGACCTGTGGGACCTAGCAGCCTTGGCTATACTCACTCACCTATAAAGGGTTATTCATAGAATGAAGGGTGTAAATGACAGACCCCAATGAACAGAACTAAGGCAAGGAACAGAGGAATAAAAGGGTTCTCTTTGCTAAGCTTTAAAGAATGAAGGTTTCTGGCTTGTAACTGTTGGTACTCAAATTTAGCTCGTACGTGTGTTATAAGATTCAGTCCCTCATAATATGTTTTTTCAGGTTGACTGGAAATCTGCTTCATACAGGAATCAAGCACCTGCAAGTCAGATCTTCCTCTCTATTAAAATCTGTTCTTTCAGGGGGAAGGAGTGTAATAACAAAACGCTACTGGAGAATGGAGCTCACTGAAAGTGCTCCTGTTTTATCTGTGCTGTTTCTTCAAATTTAAATTCTGTGGCTGAAAGATTTTCAGATCTAAAGCCTTTGGCCAGGGTCTTCTAGTGTCATTTGGACTGGCAGGTCCCATAGCATTAAGCTTCACTCTATATGCAGAGTTTCTCTGGGATCTTCTCCCAGTGCGTTCTCCCTTGCAGCAGCTCCTGTTTTTTTATCTTCTGCAAAGCAGATGGCACGTGAGCTATAGAGATACTCCAGTGATGGGCTGAGCAGCATTTGAGATAGTTGAAGTTTCCCAGTTCACCATACAGTTCAGTTTAACATACAAGAATATTTAAAAATAAGGGCAGCTCACAAATGGAATGTAAATCTATGCCATTTTGATAATGCTAGTCTCTGTAGGTTCTCAAAAGTATTGCCACAGTGGCTGAGGGACTTCTTTTCAGTATTTAAGGACAGATAAACTTCTGATGAGGGTATATCTTGTAGCTGAGATTTGTTCCCTGTCTCTCTACAGTGCTTGGCTGCTCTTCTGTCTCTCTCTTCCATTAGCTCTAGATTTATATCAGTTTTCCCCTTTGGTCTCTAGAAATCTTAGGCTGTTAGAGAAGCCCATGGATTCTGGTCCCTGGAGTTTGGAGCTCAAAACTATCTCCAGGGTTAAGAAACACCTGCAAATCTACCATGTCAGACTTCGGGGCAAGTATGGTATAGTCTAGAAATCTGAGTTCATTCCATCTCTTCTCTAAGAAGCTTAGTAGCATGATATTATCCACAGCTGTACATCAGGTTGCAGCACAAACCACTAACCCCTTCTCTTTGGTTGCAGAGTTTATCACACTGTGAGTTGATCACAGATGATGGGATTCGTCACTTGGGGAATGGTGCCTGCGCACATGATCGTCTGGAAGTGATCGAGCTGGATAACTGTCCATTGATCACAGATGCTTCCCTGGAGCACCTGAAGAACTGTCATAGCCTGGAGAGGATAGAACTTTATGACTGTCAACAGATCACACGGGCAGGAATCAAGAGACTCAGGGTAAAAAAACAACGAGTATTGCTAAAGCTTTGACTTCAAATTTTCTTCAGTAACTGCATTTCTCCCTAATAGGGTTTTTACATATGTTAAAGTCAGGGAGGGTTTGAGGACTGGACCCAGTGGTGATGCGTACGGGTTGCATAGGGGTGCATGTGCACCCCCTGAGAGCGCCGGCGCACCCCCTGACTGGCCGCACTCGCCGCTTAGACGATGGGCAGGGGGGACAAGCGGGAGTGCCGGTGCCTCCTCTGCAAGCAGCAGCCACAGCTGCTCCCGGAAGCAGCTGCAGTGATTGGTCGTCGCGGGATCAGCCACGAGGGGACGCTTGCCCACCCTGACTAATGTGGCACCAGTCACCCATGACTGGTACAAGTTCTTTAGCTTGCCTGAGAGAGAGGAAGGACAACATTTAAGCAAAGGCTGAAGATGGTAAGCACTAGCTAGTGGGGAAGGAATGGTGTCTCTTCCCTCCAGTTGCTGTTTCAGCTAAGAAGCCCAGTGAAGGAATATGGGAGAACGAGCTCACTGTTGATCACATCATAGACATGACGCTCTTTCATAAAACTGAGTATCTGACATCATTTCTCAATAAAAAATTAGTACCAGGGTCAGTAATAGAATGGTCTCTTATATTGGTTGCTATAATTTTATGAAGTGCATTGCAGTAGACTTTAGACTGACATAGCCCTGTGTGCTGGTAAATTATTTGAGCAAATCCTTTGTATTTTTAATCTTTTGGAGATAGTCCAGTACCCTGACCAGTAGGAAATACTAAGATTCAGGATATCTGGATTCAGTTCCCAGCTCATTCCCTCCTAATACGTGTTACCCCATCTGTAGTATGGGAATAATGCTACTAACTTCCTTTTTAAAGTGTTTTCAGGACTACAGATGAAAAATGTTGTGTAAGAGCTAAGTATTATTTGACTACTGTCAAGAAATACCTGAATCAAATGGCAATTTTTTGCTTACTGTTTTCAGTTTGTTTTTCCACTTGTTGGCTGAATCCAAGAGCTTAATTCACAATAAGCCTCTAAACCAAGGGTCGGCAACCTATGGCACATGTGCCCAACATGGCACGTGGCATGGTTTTTATTGGCATGCGGGCTGCTTCCCGCCCCAAGGGGCGGGAAGGGGCATGCCCAAATTGAGCAGCACATGGCAGCCTGGGAACAGCCTTGTGCTGCTGCTAACACCTGTGTTAGCTAGCGGACCCAAGCCCTGGAACACCCTGCCACGCCGGCCAGGTAACAGCCCCTGGCCCCAAACCTAGCCCGGCCCACTGCGGGCCCTGTCCCCGGCCACATCCGTGCCCTGATGGCTCCAGCCCCAACCCCATGCTGCCAGCAGGCCCCAGCCGGCACCATCGCTGCTGCAGGCCCCGGCCTGGCCATGTGCTGCTGGCAGCCTGGCCCCATCACCACCACGAGCCCCAGGCCTGTGCCCAGCCGGCCCCATCGCTGAGGTGGACTCCGTCCCTGCGCCTGGCCACATGCTGCCAGCGGCCCTGCCCCATCGCCCCCGTGTGCCCCATCCCCAGGCTCAGCCCCATTGCTGCCACAGGCCCCATCCCTAGGCCCGGCCACATGCTGCCGGCGGCCCAGCCCCAGCCGGCACCATTGCTGCTCCCAGCCCAGTGCCAGCGCCGGACAAGGGCCATCTGCAGCGTCGGGATGGGGCCGGGGCCGCGGACCTGCCCAGGCCCTGGCCCCATCCCGGCACTACAGAGGGCCCCGGCAAACAAGCTGCCGACGGGCCGGGCTCTGGTCGGCACCACTGCCACCATCTGCCCCAGCCAGGTCAGGGTTGTCGGCAGCGCCAGGATGAGGCCGGGGCCCATCCGTGCTGCTGGCAGGCGTGGCTCTGGCCAGCACCTCCATCACCGCTGCTGGGCCAGGACCATCGGCAGCACTGGGGTGGAGCCAGGGCCCGCGCTCTATCCTGGTGCTGCGGGCAGGCCCAGCCATGTGCTGCCGGCAGGCCCGCCCCTAGCCAGCACCGCCACTGCCCGCCCCAGCCCAGCACCACTGCTGGGCTGGGGCCATGTGCAGCACCAGGATGAGGCTGGGGCCTGGGCACGGCCCTGGCCCCATGTTACCGGTGGGGCGGGCCCCAGCCCCAGCCCCATCCTAGTGCTGCCGGTGGACGTGGCCCTGGCCGGCACCTCCACTGCCGCTGCTGGGCCGGGGCCACCAGCAGCACGGGGATGGGGTTGGGGCCAGGGCCATCGGCAGTGCTGGGAAGAGGGCTGGGGCTGGGGCCAGGGCCCAGGCCTGTGGACCTGTGCGGGCCTCAGCCCTATCCCGGCGCTGCCAGCAGGCCCAGCCACGTGCTGCCGGTGGGCCCGGCCCCGGCCGGCCCCGCCACCCCGCCACAGCCCAGTGCTGCTGCTGGGCTGGGGACATGTGCAGTGCCAGGATGAGGCCAGGGCCTGGGCCCCATCTTGGCGTTGCAGATGGCCCTGGAACCAGCCACGTGCTGCCAGCGGGCCGGGCCCCAGCCCTCACCACCACTGCCAGCCCCAGCCCAATGCCACAGCTGGGCTGGCCCATTGACAGCATGGGGATGGGGCTATGGACCTGCGCGGGCCCCAGCCTCATCCCGGCACTGCCAACGGCCCCAGGCTGCCCACAGCCTGGGCCCTGGCCCCAGCCATGTGGTGCCAGGTGGCCCTGGCCTCAGCCCTGCGCTGACCACGGCCCCAGCCCTGCTCCACACTCATTTTGTTTTTCTTATATGCCGGCACTCCAGCACCTTTCAAAGTAGACGTAGTTTTTTCGGCACTCCAGCCAAAAAACGTTGCCTACCCCTACTCTAAACCATTGTTGTAGATTTGCAAAGTTTGGCTCCCTTTTTATTTCGGGGTGTATTTAAAAAAAACAAACATTAGCTCCACATATGTAATTTAGAAAAGAAAAGGGCACACAACTATTATTCAGGACCATCACTACCTCTCTCTAGTTCATCAGTGAAGGCATCTGATAAGGCTCTGAAATTTTACTGAGTGAGGAAATACAGGTAGAAGAAATTTGCTAGCATGGGAGAGGTTGTAGTTTCCAGAGCCCCTTAGAAAACTGAAGTTGTACATGAGAAAGAACTTGATGACAATACAGTAAAATGAAATTCTAAATCTTCACTGGGATCTGTAGAGGTCTTGACCCTTTAGTGAAGGGGGGAAAGATGCTTTCATTTAGACAGTCAAGTAAAGAAAAAAGAGTAGGTCTGTCAGTGTTCCACCTGTTCTTTTGCTACTTGCCTCTAATGTTTCACTGTCACTGCTGTTTTTTCTTTAAATAATGTGTTTATCTTTTCAGACCCATTTACCCAATATTAAAGTCCACGCCTACTTCGCTCCTGTGACTCCACCTCCATCAGTAGGGGGCAGCAGACAGCGCTTCTGCAGATGTTGCATCATCCTATGACATTGGAATTGGTCCTCCTTGCAAACTGAGTATTTAATTATACTTCTAGAATTATGGTGGACACCAGTATCTTCAAGGAAAGTGATCCCAGTGTCATTTGCAAGGGCCAGTGAAAAGGGGGCTGTGGTGCCAGGCCCCTGTAGCCACCCATACACACGCATATACACACACCACCCGTTCCAGCAAACTGATGAACTCTACGACATGGGAGCTGGATCTGTGTTGGCATTTCTGTAGGTGGATTGGTATAATTCTGAACCATTCCTACTGGGCATGCTCAGAAGAAATCACAGGGGGGGGAGGGTGTGTAAACCCCAAATAACTTGCTGCTGCTGTTGATGATGAAATAGTAGTGGAAACCCTTCGAAGTGGGGAGAGGGAGTGAAATGAACATGCTTGAATCTTGCATCCACTGTCCAAAAAAAAGGTTTTGTATCCATTCTTCAGTAAGGGAATGAAAACAGCAGCCATTGTGAGACATGATTTACTGTGCTTCTGTACTTCCTTGTTCCCATGCTAACCACACTGTGTGTGCTCACATTGAAGGTTCATCAGTTTCTTCTGTGTTTCGTAGCATTCAACTCAGAGGCTTCCTAGATTGTTGTGATATAGCTTGAAATCTGTAATGTCAGGCTCATTTTTTTTATCCTCCCCCTCATTTTTTTACAGATTTATAATCCAGTAATTTTTCAAGATTATCAAACACAAAAGTTATGTATCAATAAAAAGACACTTTTTACCATTAGAAAGCTGAGCCTGGAATTGCCTGTCTGATGGCAAGACCTTAAATAGACAGTTGAAGGCACAGGCTAGGCTTTCATGGGCTTACTTGCCCATTTTTACCAATTGCTGGCTCTCCAAACTTTTTGCATTTCAAGTTTTACTCCAGTGAAAATGTAGCTCACAATATAGAGGACACAGCTCTAGTTCACAGTCCAATTCTTGATTCCCTGTCCTTTCCCCAAAGAAGCAAAATCACATTACTCTTTATTGTCATGGTCAAGGAATAATGATTCACTAATTAAAGTGGAAAGAACAGCAGTCCTGAAAATCTGTTGCTGGTTATTGCCACATTGCTGTATACTGAGTTTGTAAACTTTCAGCAGTTTCACTGACTTCTGCATATTCCACAGGTAAGTGTCTTGCCCTGGAGTGAAGTGTGGGCTCACTGTATACCACAAGGACATATCTTGCTTTCAGTTCCTCACCTTTCAAACAAGGGGAATGTCCTCACCTGTTAATCAGCTAGATCTGTGTACCAGCTGCTTTTTGGAATAATTCAGGCAAATTTAACCCAGGTGCTTCAGGTGAAAGAGTCTGTGCCAGCCTCGGTGAACTTACTGCTTTCCTCAGTGGCGACACGTAGGGGATGCACGGGAGTGCATGGTTACCCCCTGAGAGCACTGGTGCACCCCCTGACAGGCAGCACTCCCTGCTTAGGTGACAGGCGGTGGGGCAGGCAGGAGCGCTGGTGCCCCCCTTGAGTGCCAGCCAGGGAGTGGGGACACTAGCTGAAGCACCACTGGCACTTCTGGGAGCGCTGCTTGCGCTTCCCGGTCAGCAAAATCGACTGCAGGGGGACGACCCCCTCCCCCCCCAGGTTGCTGACTGGTTGTTGGGAGGGCATGTGCCACTCAGGCAGCACCAGTTGCCTGTGGCTTTCCTGATGCCTGGAGTCCAGGTTGCCTGGTTACAAAACAGGCAAAGCAGATGGGCTGGCAGCAAAGGCTTAATAGGGCAGAGCTTGGTCAGACTGTAACAGGTTCCTGGAAGATGATATCAAGTATAAATAATTGCTCTCTCTGCTGTCCACACTTAAGGGAGAGAAGGGAGAGTATGGATTTGTGAATTGGTCCCAACTGAAAAAAAAAAAGAGCAAGCATGGTCAGTTATCTTAATTGTTGAAAGCTGAAGCAACAGTCCTCCATCTTTATGGAGAAGAATTACATCAGATGCGGAAGAAGAGATGATTTTCTAAAGTACTAGTAATAGATTTTAGAGCCCTGGGGGGGTTAATTTTTCCCCTATATGATTAAATTGAGGGCAGTGTTGCCTCCTCAGGCTCTATCAGCATCTGAGTAATTCAGTCTGTTGAAAGGGTCATTTTAGTACCAGATGAGCTGTATTTTCTTCATGTACAACAATTCATTTTTCCCAACCTCTCAGTATGTTTCACAAGGTCTTGCAGACTCTCAAATCTTCTGGGAAGTCGCACAGAAGAATCTCAGTATGCCCATTGTTTAAAAGGACACTGTCTACTTTTTTCCTCCCCTATTGATTTTATTTTTAATCTGTTTTATTTATTAAGTCTTTGTAGAAGCGTGGATAATCTCTTCTCAATAACTGTGTTTTTATTCCATTTGCAAAACTTGATCCTTTCCCTTGCTTTCAATGTGGCAAAAGGTGTTTATAGCAGCTGGTTTTATAACTATTTCAACTTACTGACCTTCTGGGCAGGCTATGTGTATCATCAGTTTGTATACCAGCAACCATCAGTGTTAGCACAGCTCTGGGAAGACTCTCAGAGCTAGTCTGTTGAGGCAGGGGGAGAAATAATTTTGGTTTGATAAACCCTGATATTGCCTATTTAATTTCTTGGTAATGGAATGGTGGGTTTTGGACTCGATTATAGAACCCAAAGCATTTTCTTTAACAGGGTAATGGCATAAGGTAGCCCAGACTATTTGACAGTGTCCTTTCAAGTAAAAAATTGTCTCTAAATGGACTCTTCCTTATGTGTGTATTTATAAATACCAATAAACAACCATTTTCCAAGTCTTGTCGTATTAGAGAATGCCTTTGTAGAGCAAAAGCTTTTACACCCAGTAGTGCATATGCTCTGCCTTCTGGAATTCTGTAATACGTCCCAGGTTCATCCCTCCTGCCTGTGTGTTGACTAGCTGTTAATCAAAGGTAGGGACTTGCTAGTCATTGGTGGGGGGGCAGGGTTAGATCACAACCCAAGCACTGCTGATGGAATTGGTCAAGAGACTGGAGCTCAGGTATTTGACCGGATGGATATAGTTTGTATTAAGATCAAGGGACCATCTTTGTAAGGGTATTTGGGGGGGGTTATTTTTATTTTTTCCAGGGGCAAATAGTGGAAAATAGCAGAACTCTTGAAAACTTTAGGGAGGAACAAATTTATCTTATTTGAGTATCTGATCTGATTTAAAGACTTGTGCCAAATAAATAAACTAAATCAAGAACAACAGACATCTCACTTGGTGTCTTTTCCAGCCTTCTGGATCAAGCAATAGGACCTGGTCAGTGCAGGTCTAGGGTGTAAGTTGCCATTGACTGTTGCATTAATTTATTGGACCCTTCCTTACCCTCCACCGGAAATCCACATGTACAACCCAAAATCCTGAGATGCTTCCATAGCAATCCATGTGATCAGCACAGGTAGTGGTATGAGTGGGACTGCATCTTCTTTCCTTGAGCAGAAATGCTTTTCTGTAGCTTATCTGTCTTTTCAGCACTTCACTGATCACACGTTACAAGCTACTGTTAACGTGTTCCATGGACTAACATCGTAGTTCTCTATAGTGGGTGTACTTTTGGGGGTGCTCTGGGAGAGGGGGCAAGAGACTGTGAGAAACCTTAGAAATGGGTAGAGTGGTAGAGAAAATGGTTCACAAAGTAGAAGATAGCAGGAAAACTGAACCTGGTGCATTTGTGATTCTCCAGCAGAGGTGTTATGAAGAGATCTGATGCAACCAAAATACAAGGTTTTTTTCTTATATTTTTTTAAGAACAGCAGCACTTTCAATCATGATTCTGTAACTGCTCCTGAAGAAATGGGGACAAAGCAAACATGCTGTTACAATGAATATTAACACCCCCCACCCCTCCCCAATCCTATTTTCTAAACATCGTTGTATTCTTCTTTTCCTTTTTTTATTTTAATCTGAATGTGTTGTTCATGGCTGGCCGATGGTGTCATAGGTTTGGTTTTTTGTTTTGTTTTGGGTTTTTTGGGAGGGGGGATGAAATGGATGGGTGGAGGGGAGACCAGTATGACAAGGTTCTTCACTACAGTGTCTCATTTGGAGGATGAGTGCTGGGCAGAGACAAGGGTTCAACTGACCTTTGTCTGTAGAGGCTGTGGCTTTCCTTTTGGTGAGGGAGTATCCAAACTTGACCAAAAGTCACCCCCCACTCCCTTTCCTGATCATACTAAAATTCTACAGCTTGACACTGTGCTTCCCAATCCCATTTCTGGCTTTGGAAGCTATGCAGACTGGGCCAAACAAAGATCTTTCAGAGCTGCTTCACAGTCTATGATCAGGGCAAGATGTATCTTGCTGCCTTGGGCTCTTGATTCAGTTTCTCTTGTCTTATGAGAACAGCCTCTTCTCTGGGTTACATGCCCAAAAGTATACAACCCCAGTATTGTCAATTACAGTAGTATCCCCTCTTACAGAATGGTTTTCTCAGCATGAGACCACTTCTCTGCTCAAGTCTGTGGGTTTTTAATGCTTCTCATCTTGTTTACACTCCATTCCAGATGAAGATCTACTCCCTTATCACTTTGCAGCTGCAGGGAATACATTTTATATTGATAGGATCTTACCTCTTTGGATTCCACAATGGAATAACTTTTCTAATATAGAACATTGCTTTCCTTTCTTGCAACACACAGAGGATGATATAAATAGGTTTCCATTGCAGAAATTAACATTTACTCACTGTTTTTACTTGAGTAGTGTTTGTTTGTCTTTTAAAGGAACAAGGTTCATTAAACTGCCAGCATCAACTACTTATTGCTTACTCTTGCTTGCCCCTCAATCCTGTTTACAGTCCTTGCTGAGACATGTTTTCCTGGGGTCCCTCGAACAAGCATAATCTCTCCACAGTCACGCTCAGACCATTCCTTTTCTGGGCCCCATCAGCTTTTGTCTCATGGGTCTGATACATGGCTGTTCTAAAGCAGTCGCCCCATGCATTCTGGCTGGGCAAACAGTGTCAGCAGGACTACCCACGCATTAGGCATGACATTTAGATTGGCTATAAGGCCCACACAGATGAAGTCTTGGACACTCTTTAGTTCTTACTGAGAGACAATCCCTTTCCCACAGGCATCCCACTGAGAACGAGCCTGCTGTGCAGTCACCCCCTACAAGCCGCTGCCC